CCCCCCCGAGCGCCGCCCCGCCCCGCTGAAACAAACAAACAAAAAACCCGAGCGCCGCCCCACCACCCGAAGATTGGCCGCCCCTTACAAGGTGCCGCCCCAAGCACGTGCTTGGTTGGCTGGTGCCTGGAGCCGGCCCTGGCTGAAGGGGTTGGGTGCTGATTGATTCACGGGGCTGGCTGTTCGCCCCACTGCTTGAGTGAACGAATGTAAACTCCTCAGACGTTCTACCACCCTACCCCTAGAGTCACAGACAGTCCCCTTGGGTATGCGATCTGTCTTGCCCCCCCGGTAAGCTTACCTTTGGGTCCCTCACACCAAAGATCACAGCAATATTCAGGTTACTTCGCCAGGTCAGTGGCACTTTAGATCTCACACCACAAACAACACTTGTACCCAACCCTATAACAAACTATCTAGAGATTTATTATATAGGAAAAGGAAATAAATTGTTTACAGGTTAAAGCAGGTAAACCTTTGTGCACTCAAATGAGTTCCAAACTTAAGTTTCAAAAAGTACTAAAAGGTCTGTGATAAGCAAACTGTATCCGTCCTTTAGGGCTGACCCCGGCCACGCACTGGGGATCTTTTGCTTCTGCTTAGTAACCCTTGTCGCTTTCAGTCCCAGCAGCACAGACACAGTTCCCCTTTGTTAGCCTCCCCCTCTTCCAGCCCCCTTGAAATTGCAAACTCTGAGGTTGGGAGGAATTCACTTGCAAGTCTCCTCTTCAGGTGGGGGGGGGGGGGGGGGGCACGAGGGGAGGGGAGGGAAGAGAAATCAACAAAGTCTTTTTGTCCTCTTTGATGTTCCACAATAGTTTGGGATGGACCTTCCATGTGGTGCAGGACATATGCAGCCTCCAACAGGACATGTTTTCACGCTAATTAATGTCTCCTGTCTGGTGATTTACGCAGTCACAGAGGCTCACAATGCAGCTTACCTTATAACATGGGCTACAGATGTTATAAGGGAGATGAATGCAGACATCAATTCACAAGCATTCAATAAAGTCTAAACACTAAGCACATTTTTTATAACTCTTAACAATACTAACACGCAGGCGAGCCGGACGGATCCCAGCTAGGTATCTGTCAGCATTCACGTGAGGTGTGGGGGCCTTGGCATGAGCCAGTACCTGGTTTGCAGTGTCACACACAGCTGGTCAACACCATTTAAAATACGCAATTTCAGTGACATTTTTCATCAACGTTTCAACCGTTGTCATAACATCCTGATGGAAGTTATAGTGAATATTTTGCCCCATTGTTTGATCAGCTCAAGAGATGATAAAATTCTGACTCACATGTTCATTGAAATTTTGACTCAATTAAAAAACAAACAAAAACTCATGTAATGGTCATGAAAATTTCTGCCCAAATTGTGCTCTGGTTTTCAGTGAGCGCCACTGAATTTTTAATGGAAAGAAGAAGGGAAAAGGAAAATGTTCGTTGCCAGCCCTCCTTTATCCATCAGCCAGAAGCAAAGAAGGGCAGAAAGCCCGTCTTGTTTGGAGTTTTTGGCAGGTCATCTTTGACATTCTAGATGATGGTGACTCATGTGAGCGAAACTTCAAATCACAAGTGAAAGAAACTTCCCAGCTGCAGCTTTGGTTCTTCTGTGGCAATACTGTCCCCTGCTACATAGGAGGCCTCAGTTTGATTCTCAGCTGATGCAGATGACTTTGTTTAGTGTCCTTTCTCTCTACAGTCCTGCTGCAGGACCATGGCGAAGATACAAGCATTGTCTTTGCTTTCGGGAAATGCCTGTTGTTCAGGGACTTGCCTTTGCTGTCACTGACCCTCCAGCAGAACTGACTTTCAAAGAGAAACGGTGCTTCACCTACAAGTCCTACTAGCACCAGTAATTGGTGTCACCGCCAATGTAGCCCCTTGAGCTGTCAGATCCCCCTTCAGGTGGGCTGGGACCAGCCAGGGCGGGGCGGGATCAGCTGGCAGCCTCCCCTTTCAGTCAGCCCTGAGCCAGTGCCACAGCCTAGTGCTCAGGGACCAGGTTCTGGCCATTGGGAGAGGGGAAATGGGGGTGCTGATTAAAGATCCCACAGCCCATTTCACAAGCGTGGAACCTTGGTGTCCTGGCTGAATTACAGTGTGGGTGAGCGCCTCCTGCTGCCCGGGCCTTCCTCTTGCATTTCCTGTGTGGCAGGAGAGAATTCTCCCACACACCCTCCTGCTGGGCACCCTTAAGCTGCTCTTTTCCTGCTACACATACCTGGTCTGTTTCGGACGCTACCATTCAGTGGTGGATTCATGATTCCCTCTCTTCAGGATTGTCTAGGTTAGGAACAGAGACTGAGGTTAGGCCAGGGTAAACTAGAACGGGAGCTCACCCACATGCCTAAACTAGAAAACTCCAACGGGCCTGGGGGCTCCACAGTCACTGAGGTTAGCGTCACTTTCAAGATGACTTCTAAGGCGAGATCTATCAGCTGACATGTTCCCTTCATTGTGTGTCTATAGAGAAAGACCAAGAGGGGACTTGGGTTCCTTAGAGGGTTCTCGTGTCTTAGTATCGTGAACCTCATATCTGGCGTCTCCTGGTTCTGTAGGAGGCCTTGGATGAGAACTGACGTGGCAGCTATCTTTGCCCTAAACTGTAGGGGTATTATCTGTGTGTGGGAAGTGAGGGGACACTCAGAATTGTCATTCAGGAGGCATGTATCCAGTCACTTCTAAAATGCCTGAGCAAAGCCAGCAAACACCTAGATGGGAACAAAAAGAAGCTGAAAACAAGGAGTTTGAAACAAGCCGATTAAGAAACACTTTCCCCTCCCTCCATCTTCAAATGTGGTGGAAAAATTCGGTCAGCCTGACCTGAAGTCCTGCTGTTTTGGCCAGTCTGTCTGTGTGGGTGTTTGTTTTAGCGGCTGAGGATTGCGATGAAAACTCCAGGCCTGTTGTTCGGGCGAGTTTCTCTGCCGATGTCTGAGCGTGAGGTGACTTTGGAATGACAAGGAGCCCGGGCGGAGAGTTGAAGCAATGCTGCTGGCTTGTGTGGCTAAGCCGCCAAAGTATGTCTGAAAGCGTCGGCTCACAGCTGGAGCGCTGGTGGTTCTCTGTTGCTCTTTCAGGCTGGGACTAGATTAGGGTTTGGTCTACACAGAGTTTGTCTTGGTATAACTGTGTCGGTGGTGGGCGGGGGGGGGAAGTGATGTATGACTGGTGTAGTTATATCAGTATAACCCATGGGGTAGGTGCCTTGTCCCAGTATGGCTCCCCTCTCCATACAGGAATAATCTACACACAGTAGACACCGGTGTACCTACAGCTACAGCCACACTAGGGCTTGTACTGTGTTGCCTAGGCCAGTACAGGTAAAGTGGTACAACTTGTGTATAGACAGCTGCTAGGCTAGGATGGTCTCACCTTTTCAGTGACACGCATAGTTAGGCGACGCCTCCATAGGCAACATACAGAAACGAAATGGCGTCTCCCACGCAGTGTGACCTCGCTTGTACCATGCGTGTGAGGTCATGCCGTGTGGAGGACGCCATTTGATAGAGCAGAATGGCACGGGGCCAGATGCCTTCATGGGGGAGGGGGTGGACGGATCGTCCCGAGGGTGGGATCTAGCCCCCCAGTGCTGTTCTCAGTTGGGTTAGCTCAGTCGAGCCAACCGAACGGCCTGCCCAGACATGAAGTCACTCCGCAGGAGCTCTCCCCCGCCTCATTCCGGAAAAGCTTTCACATGGAGCCGTGTCCGGAGTTGTCTGGAAACCCCACTTAGCACCAGCGCGACTTGGGTTAGCACCATACGCTCCCTCCTAGGCGTCAGCTCCGTTTAGCATGGGCCAAAGTGCCATTGCCCTGTCTTGACTAGAGCCGGGGAAGGTGCTAACGAGATGGAGCTGGGTGACTCAATCCAACAGCCCACCTTTAAATCCCCTCGAGGTTTGGGAGCTGTGCAGTTCCGGCCCGTGAGGGAGAGGGGGTGTGGAGAGCCAGGCAGCAGGGGAGGGGCAGAAGGTGTCCGGGGAGCAGGCCATTTACTGCCCTGCTTGTGTGTTGTTTCTGCAGAACGACATAAATGTTTGTGAAGTGGTAGAGCAGGTTCTCAGCAGCGACGCAGGGAGCAGCCGGAAGGCCGTGCGCCCCAAAGCCCTGCTGGATAACTGCGCCAAGGTCATGCGGATGCTATACAGCGAATCGTGTGAGTAGAGATCCCTTCCAGGGCAGCTTAGCCGGACCGGAGACCGCTCCCAGCTCACGGGGGTGCTATCTGGGGGCGGGGGGGGGAGTCCACGCTCGGGACGGGAAATCCCAGCCTGCAGATCGCTCTGGCGTTGCTCCCAGGCCATGGGCGAGGGCAGTGGAAATGCCCTAAAAGTGGGGGGCCACAGGTGCCTGAACTGTGGCCCCGCCCCCAGTGCCATGCTGCCCCCAAGGCACCACCCCTTCCCCTGGAGGCTCCGCCCCCCACTGCTCGCCCTTACGGCCAGTAAAAGTGGGAGGGCCCTGGCCCCCCTGTCCTGGCACCCTGGCCATGGGCAGTGCAGTCAGCAGAGAAGCTGTGACCGCACCAGGAGAGCAGATCTGCAGGGTACCAAAGGCCCTTTGCATGCTGGGACAGCGGCCCACCCCTCATGTTCCCTGTTCCGTGAGCTGGGCACAGAGACTTGTGGAAAATGGGTCTAGCCCAGGTATTCTGAGCGGCTGCATGGGGGGCCGTGTTAGTGACGGACGCCTCGGCTCTCTCCTGCCTCAGGTAAATAGGATTCTGCCTATGATCAGGAAGGGAGCGTAGCCATTTCGTCCCTCTCTCCGTGCCCTCTGCGCCGCTTCGGCATGTGGTCTCTGTTGTCGTGCTGCCTGTCTGCTTGTGCTCCACAATCCCAGCTTCCGTGTTGCGTTGTGCCTGCCATCTCCCTGGGGCCCAGAGGAAGCCAGCGCCCTACGAAGCATCTTCCAAGGTGCCCGGCAGCGGGAGCTTTGCCTTGCTCTCGCAGGGAAGAATGAGAGCAAAGGTGAAGGATGGAGAGCGCAGAAGAGTGGATTTTCTCTACCGGTGCCACAGGAAAAGCTCAGGAAATCTTTCGGGCACGGGGAATCCAAGGAAGGTGGTGGCTTCTCCTGCCATGAACAGGCTGCATTTCTGTCCCTCTGAGGGTGCGGTTCTGGGTTGCTCCCCACCAGAGTAGGTGTCCGAGGGCCCGCTCTGCGGCAGCAATGGAGACTTGCCTCACATTCGAGCCTGCCCCAGCGGGGGATTTTCTCACCAGGGTTGTTGGGGAGAGAGCACGATGTGACCTGGCCTGGGGTGTGTTGCCTGAGTCAGAAACACCGCCCGCTGTCTCCCGCCCCAGGACGCCCAGGTGGTGCACGGCAGCCCCCGCAGAGGAGAGCTGCTGGAGGGATTCTGGTGGATGGTCCCTGGACACTGCTGTGACTGGACTGGCACCTTCGCGGCAGGGACGTTCCAACCCCTGAATGTTTAACACAAAGCCGCTCCAACACGTGTGCTTTGATCACAAATCTTATGACATTTGGTGTTTTCTTTAAAGCCCCGAGCCCTGGAATCACCATATAACTGCACCTTGTCAGCTTGCGTTAACGAAAAAAGCTGGTCTGTAGCTCTCCTGGTCGCTTGTACACGTGTCCCCTAAAGACTCCAATGCCAATAAACACAATAAATAGCAAGTGAACCCAACTCTAAATGTAAAGTCTCATGATTCCGTGGGATCTGGGAACCCATTGGGTGTCATGTGTCCTCCCTCCTGCCCCCTGGGAGACTCGTTGGCTATGTGCTGGTGCTGAACGGTTTCTGTGCAGGCTAAGTGACAAGGGATGCCCTGATTTCCCCCCCCACCCCCCCCGGTCACACAGAGCTTTTTGTGTCCAGAAGCTGAAGTGCTTTTCAAAGGGAAATCTGTAGATGCGGGAGGACTGGGTTGTGTCTGCTCCAGCCGACTTTGTAGCTGGAATTCTCCACCAACTGGAGCAACAGTGGAAGCTGGCGTGTAGATGGCACAGGGTTGCTTTGCACTCTGTGCTGTCTAACCCCACCTAGAGCATGGATAGAGGACACCATGATAGAAATGCCCAAGTCCTCTCTCTACTGCAGCTTTCACCGTAGGTACCACTGGTGGAGAATGATGTCAACATTTGCCTTTGAAGGAGCCAGAAGTTCAGGAAGGGCTGACCACACCCTGATCTCTTTAAGACATCTCCATCGGTCCCCCAAAGGGTGGGTCACCCCACACTAGTCAGGAGTGAAACTTGACGCCTTGACTTCTCGTCTCTCTCCCAAATCCAGGGACAGTTCCCACGGCCCCAGTCTCACTACAGAGCCACGCCGGGGCTCGCCTTGCTCGTGGAGAAGCGAACGGATTCAACAATGGATGGGGCTGGGCGGGGGAATTTTTCAAGTTGTTGTTGAACATAAAGAGTAAGATGCAGCCCGTTGGCAAAGAATTACGTAGCAATAAATGGTTCAGGAGAGCGACTGGAGCCGCAATGCTAGACAGCCTCCGCTGCTGGAGAATCAGAGCACCTGTCAATCTGGAATGCATTTATCGCCCCCCCCCCCGGCAGGGCAATGGGGAACTAAGGCACAGGGAGACTAAAGCACTTACCCAGGGTCACGCCAGGAGTTTGTGGCAGAGCAGGGAATTCCATTCATTTCTCTTGCATGACAAGCTGGCACCCAGACCACTGGGCCATCCTGGAATGACCCTCTAGCATGATTCAGCTGCCAGTGTTCATTACCTAGGTGATCTCTCCCTGGGTTGTGACCCCCAGTGGAGTCTCACACAGGCGTCAATGATGCTTTCCCGTTACCCTTTCTCTAGAGAAGCAAATAGGTTACACGGCAAATAACTCCAGAGTAGAGCCCCTGAGCCAAGTCCAAACGCCATGTGTGTAGTGGATGTAAGTTACACATGGAAGAGCAGGTTGGGAGGAGGGGAACAAAGCGGGTCTAAGGTCTGGTCTACATGACAGTCAGGTTGACGGAAGGCAGCTTACATCAACCACGCTCCAGCCTTGCCCCTGCCAATGCAAGTGCCACTACACCAACGTCCTAACGCCTCCAGGAGAGGCGTGGGGCCTGTGTCGGTGCTGTTAGGTGATGCAGTGGCCGAGTAGACACCGCAGTTACTTACATCAGCTGTTGGGGTCGCTCTTGTTGATTGACAAGTGCCCATCTAAGTTGGCAGCAACAAGGTAGGCAGCCGGGTTCTGTATCTAGGGGTTCCGTTTCATTAACGCAATGCAAAACGGGCTCGAGCCCCCACCCAGTGACCTGGGACAATTACATACCACCCCCTGGGTGCCTCTAAGAGGCAATAATTCCCCTCTCGCAAGCACGGAGTCTGAGTGTAACAGAAAATGTTTAATAACATGAGGTAAACGACATCAGCATTAAATTGGAAAAACACCACAAACAGGAATCATAACACAAACCATGATCAAAAGACCCACCCCAGCAAATTGGGCTGTGTCCTTTCCCTTTGGTTCTTGAATCCAGCAACCCAAAAATCACCCAGAGTCCCCAAAGTCCAACACCCCCAAAGTCTCTTGGGTCCAGCAACCACCCAAAGTCCCAAAAGTCCAACAGACCCCGAAGTCTCTGTCCCTGGTCAATGCAGCCCCAGAGTAAAGGGGGGGGCATGCAGGGTGTTAAGGGACACCTTACATGATCCGAGGCCCCATGGGGTTCCACCACAGCCTTCACCATGAGCCAGTCCACTTCCTGCTGTCCCCACAAACTGCTCTGCTCACCAACCTGTGACCCGCTCCAGCCGTCCACACAAACAGCTCTGCTTGCCGTTCCTTGGGCCACTCCAACTGGCCCTACAAGGCTTCGTGCCACTCCTCCAGTTGTCCCCACAAATTGCTCCACCAGCTGCTTAGCAATATAGCTTCAGGCTCCCACACTAGTTAACACAGCACTCAGTGATCTCAGCTCTTAATAACTTTAGCTCTTTTGTGATTCCAGCTCTTGGCAATTTCAGCTCATAGGGGAACCCCAGTGCTAGTACACCATCAACCCAAAGTGAATTCAGCTCAGCAGTCTGTAACTAGACTTTTAGCTCTGACATTCAACAGTGGCAAGAGGAAATAGTGCAATGGGTGTTTCACACCCTCAGAGCAGGCCCATACCATCAGGTACAAATACCAATCCTCTCTCAATTCACTGGGTTTTGTAACCCATGCCCCTTGTCAAGCAAGTGCTACTTAGGTAATGGTGAAGGACTCACTCAGTCCTTCTGTCATACAACAGTTTCACTGGCCTTGATTTACAGAATCAGGGTAACAAAACTTTATTCTTCCTGCCCCAATAACAGAGAAGCTGGGGATCCCACACCAGCCAAAGTAACCACTTTGAGTTGCTGTTGTTTCATGCCAGGCGAGTGGGTGTGCCTATGCAAACAAGATCAGCCCCTAGAGTTCTTTTCCACACTTGCCATAATTCACCACCAGATGTCAGGTAGAGCTCAGCCTGACTCTGCTTACACAAGAAAGGCTGGTTGGCTCCCTGCTGTGAACCGCGCACCCCACTCACCACATAGGCTGTCACCCTGGGGGGGGGGGCACCCACCAGCGCCGGAAAAAGTTGGTGCCTATGGTACTGGCCATGTGTACTTAGCCAGGCATGGCTTAATCTTTGAGACAAGCATATGCTATTGGCAGGAACAACCAGGTAGCAACGCTTAGGAAGGAGAGCACAGGCCGCACCTTAAGGACAGGGGGCACCCCTGGCAGGCCCCGCCAGGCTTCCCCAGGAGGAAGGAGAAGGGTCTGCAGAGCAACACGTGGACTGACAGGGATGGCGATCCCCCAAGATTGATCTGGGTCACAGCAGGATAGGATGGCAGAAGAGAGGAAAGGCCAACAAGCCCCCCTTCTCCCCATTTCCCCCAGCTCCCTGGGTCACACCAGTAAAGGACAGTAGAATATAAGGTGGGCTATGGAGACCCCCTTCTCCCTGCTTTCCCAGAGGCCTTTTGAGACAACATGGCTACGTGGCATGGGGCCCATGCATGCCTTCAAGGCAACTGCTAGAGAACACAGCAGCAACACAGACAGGGCTGGAGATCCAGCAAGAGGGGGCTATGAGGGTCCCGCCAAGAGGGGAGTGGCCACTCCGGCATGCACAAGGCTGAGCCATCGAGTGTGGTGGGCTCCACAGCAGGCCCCTATTCACTTTTG